ATACTTGAATGCTCCAAATTCTCTCCTATGGCTTCCAACTGACGTAGCACTCGCTCTATATTTTCGATAGTGGTCATCCATTCCTTTTCATTTCTTTTGATGGCTTGGAGTTCGTTGTATAATATCGTCGTTATTGTCGAGGGTCTCCATATTTATTTTTAAGCAATCTTCTAATTACTTCGTAATTTTCAGGTGCTATTTCATACCCTGATACAACTTGTAAAGCATTACCTCTGAGACATGAAAACAAATAATTCAATTTTTGGATTTCAGGAATCGTTTGTGAATGGACTGCGGCGTTGAAGCTGCTCCAGAACTGCCGCCATTGTATGGGTTCACCATTGAAAATAGGTAAGGATAATTTGAGGGAGATTGACCGTAAGATTTGGACGAGGAATTGACCTTTCCTGTTCCTTACTCTTTCCCTTAAATAACTGCTCCAACTTTTGCTAGGCGTCATCCTTATAGCTTGTTAATGTTATCAACGTTTCTTTCCCCTCATGCATTCGAAATAGTCCGTGCTCACCCTCTGTGACGCATTCATAAGCCTTTTCCTCTTCTTGCCTTTTTTTCGTCGCAGTAATGGTTTGAATATACTTGAGCCATGTGTCGTAAGCAACTTCGAGCTCCTTAACAGATAATTGGATTCTGTCGAATTTGTCACGGAGCACTTGTTCCCTTGTTGTGTAAAGGATTCTCTGTTGGTCTAATGAGGAGTTTGGGTCCGGAGATTCGAATTCTAGGGAATTTATCTCTTGAAGAAAAAAGACTAACCTGGTTTTTGCTGGTTGAATGCTGGCAATGATGTTACTTGACATCATACCTCACCTCGGGCACCAAAAATTTGTAGCGAATATTGATAGGGTTCGTTTGAGAGGGTGATGTCGAAGAAGAGACCACTATTGCCAGCGATATGACGCGAGTTGTATTAGCGTTAAGTTGAATTGAGTTGATTCAGGTACGATGATTTGAGTTGAGTTGTACACGCACCAGATTGTAGACAATTTTACTGAAAAAAGTCCTCACTCGGTTAATCATAGGGCTT